TAAATGGATTGTTATAAATAGATGGTTTAACGATGGCACATTATGAGGTTCTTTTGTTGCTCCAGAAAGACGTTCTTGTCTTTCGTCATAATCAACAATACCATTTTTCACAACAGCATACAAAAAAACGATTTTCGCAGCCATCACATATACCGCGCGCTGCATACTTGAATAGTATTGATGTCATATTTGCACCGGTAGTACCACCAAGTAAAAATAATTCAGATTTTTCAATTTGAAACCCATAGCCACCGGTCGTTTTTGAAGATCGTTTATAGCCATCGAATGCTTCGCACAACACAGCTCGGGCAGTTGAACCAGCACTACTACCTAAAACAGTCAAATATTTTAATCTTATGTTGAAGCTACTTACCTTGATTATAATAGCCCAAATTCGTCAACGATAAGTCGGCTTCCTTCATTAATAGAAATTTTGAACCAGTTACCATTTCCTTATGAATTCCTGCAGCTGTAACTGCATGTAAAATAGATCGCTGATTTTTCCTAAAATACACTTCCGGAAAGAGTTTTTCAACTAAATTGCAGCCGTCTTGCACCATGTCAATCAAGCCTGATTTATCACTACCTAGAACAAGCCATGTGTAACACAAAAGCTTTGAGAAAAGAAATTCAGCTACCACTAAGACCGACGAATAGACCAAACAAGTTGATTGGTTTGAAATTTTTATGTTTTAACCAATGCATATAAGACGAGTGCGATGTAAAATAAGCGGTTGAAATTAAGACTGCAAATAGGATCGATCCACAATCATTACCACTAACCAAACACCAATTTCGAAATGTATCTAGTATAAATCCATTCGCTGACTTTTCATTATTAGAATTAATATCGGTTGAAAATACATTCTCAATTACAGTAGAATAGCTTAGTGCTTCCTCCATGAATAAAGTATTCAAATCTTCCACTTGTTGGAAGGATGACGAGGATGGCATACTCATCTAGAATACACAAAAAAACCTTGCACCAAAGAAGCAGCAGTAACACATACACTTAAAACTTTAAAAACTTCTTGAAACAATGTTTAAGGTATAATCAACAGTACACATCAACACTGATACGATATCGTAAGTAGGGATGAGCGGTAACGGTAATTTACCGTCGAGAACGGTAAAAAAATGTTTTACCGAAGTATACAGTTTTGAATGTTTGCAAAAAATGATATATTTTGTTTTTCGCTCGCGTGTCCAGGTATAGTTACAATTTCTGTATTAAGAGAAGACTAGTATAAAAGAGAAAGAAGACGGTTAACCGCATATATCAGAAACAGAAAATAAAAATTACGACTAGGCATCTCTGTATCTATACTTTAGACAACACATAAGACAAGAGCTAGTTATATGTAGAAGAACAAAGCTCTTCAATCTGGCTAAAAAGAAAAATGTACTGACGCAAAAGAAGGCAAACATTAGCGTCGGAATATTTCGACAGAAACAGAAGCACATGACGATTGAATAAATGTGATCAGTAATACAATATTATAAACGTATAGAGAGACATGACGACTTAACCTAACCCGACCCACAGATCTAGTGATATATGTTGCCTACAGACATGATAACCCAACCAGACCCGACCCACACATATAGAACTATTCATCTCTGAGACACTGCAAGACACACATGGCAACCCAACCTAACCCAACTCAGGGATATAGAACTGATGAATAGTAGTCCGTTACAGCTAGACAAACGTGACGACTCAACCTTACCCGACCTAGAGATTTAGTGATATATGTTGTCTACAGATAGGATAACCCAACCTAACCCGACTCACACATATACAGTTGTTGATCACTAGTAAGACAGTGCACGACACGCATGACAACTCAACCCAACCCGACCCAGAGATTTAGTGATATATGTTGACTACAGACATGATAACCCAACCTGACCCGACCCAGAGATGTAGAATTGTTGATCACTAGCCAAACACAGCCAGACAGACATGACGACTCAACCTAACCCGCACGCTATAAGGAATGAGACGTTCTAGGAATTGATAAGTGCCTTGCTGTTGTCAAAATTCCTAAGTAGTCACTATTTGCCATCCTCTGGATCTCATTCTAAAAGGGTCAATTAATCTTACCCCAGAACAAAACATCCTTATTGTAAATAATGTCCACAAATATATCGCTGACACTAAACGATTCGCTTAACATTCTTTACTTCTTGTGCTACTCTGTCTATTGTTATATGTAGAGAGGAAAAGGTTTTTGTATATTACAATCCTCGCTAAATAAATTAAACTATATATATATATATATATACTACTGGAACACAGTAAAATCCATATTTTATCAGAAAATGAATGCGTCCTTTTTTTAAAGATTAAACATTGAAATATAATAGAACAACGCTTGGTCTATCCTTCTCATAATAACACATTTACATCATCAGAGCAAGGAGAAAGCAATTTGTTGAAAAATTAATTAAGGATATTAATCAGTTTGATATGATCTTCAACATAGAAGATAATATCAGAAACAAATCTTTCAATATTTGGACTTATCATCAGCAAAAGGATGACTTCAATCGCGTGATTCGAAGTTACAGCAGTATTCTTTTTATGACATTTTTATACATGACTGGATACAGTTTTTCGAGCTGATCAAGAATATGTTAGCTTTAACGTTCCACATTAATCTTTTCAATGAGAAAATTAAAAAAATACGGCAAGGATCCTATCAATAAGTCTGAGTACAGCAGTTTTGAAGACTTTAGACATTTTAAAAGATTTATCTTAATTCAAAGACAGTTTATTATTGTCGACGTTTCGACTTATCAAAAGTCATTTCAAGACTAAATTTATAGAGAGAAAAGTACTAAAAATGACAAGACCAAAATTCAAGATGAAATCAAACACTACTGGGTAGTGAACCCGGCTGCCGGGATCCGCTGTGTAATTAGTCCACAGTTCACCACCTTTTCCATTAATACTGTCTAGTAGTTGTGCGTTTGCATATGAAAGAAGCGAATTGTATAATAACTTCTCATCTTTAGAATGTAGTTTTACTTTTCTCTCTTTGAATTTCGTCTTGAAAATGACTTGTGATAAGTCGAAACGTGGCAATAATAAACTGTATTTGAATTAGGGCAAATCTTTTGAAATGTCTAAAGCCTTCAAAGCTGCTGTACTCAAACTTAGCTATAATGTATTGGTTCGCTACTGGAAGAATGGTTCTAAAAACTCTTCATTTTCCACGTAAAATGAACTCTCTCAAACGAAAATCTTTTTATTCAAAATAAACAACATATGCGCAACTAGCTAGTCAAGCTGCGCCAAAACTTGTGTACGAGAGTATTCTTTCTTAGTATCATAGTATGAGAGACTAAAAAAATGGTATGTTCACATGAACTGAGCAGAAAAACTCACTGCTCCGATCGGTGGGATAAAGAAATTTTATGCTTTTGCAGTACATGATTTTTAGTGTTCGAAAACTAAAAAGGGTCAGTGAAGAATAAAGTAATATCGCATGTGAACGATAATTTTCTTGTATTACCACTTACGTTCAGTTTGGATGTCTTCCCTTCTCTCTCTCCTGCGAATGGACGTTGTACTTGAATGAATTGTTATTGATGTCACCAATTAATGATGAGAATACTAATATGGAATCACAATCAGATCCAATATTTTTCAATTCATTAACGTCGCCTAATAGTTTAATTGAACAAATGATAAAACTTTTATTAACAATACAGCCTAGTGAGCAATTTATCGATGATTTAACTAATAAACAACAAACATTAACAGGAAAATATAAATTATTAGTATTTTTAAAAAATTATTTTGAAATAACTCAGTATGAAATAGAAAATAAAATAAATTAATTAATACCAACAACAATAAATGGATTACCATTGTCCTTCGATGATTTACAACAAGTTGAACATAGAATTAAGGATATATTGGATGTTATAGAACGACGTTTAGCAACATTGAAATCATGGTTGCCACCAACAGCGCCATTTCTAGGATTTTTTTGAACACATTTGTACGAAACAACAAACCTTAAGCTATCATAAAATATTTGTTTTAATTGATTGAATTTTAAATATTTTTTCAATTAAAAGGTGAAGGTCTTTTAATATAGATTGTCCAATAGCCCTTGTACATCCTCTATCCTCAAATTTTATACGAAAAGTGGCAGAATATTTCGTTGAGCGCAATTTGTTCAAATACTGTTTAAAAAAATCTGTTGAATAATCGAAGATGAGTACATTTTTTCCTATGTAGGATTATATCATTTTGTTTTGGGATCAAAATGATGTAAATCTGATATTTATAATAGCCGTTAAAATAAGAAGTATTTTAAAAGATTAGTTGTTATAATCATCAAGTCATGCAAATCAATTATCACGATCATGTAACTGTAAACAATGCCATTTTTATGGCTGATAATTTTATTTTTGTTTTTAGAGGTATAAAAACGTGTAATTAACAACAACCCAAGTCGAAGAATCGTACTGAGGTCGTATCCGATGCAAGATCGTAAGAAAATGGAAAAATGATATGATTAGTGCATTAGGATAGTATGACTACTTATAATATGATTTTGGTACGAGTCTGATTATATGTCGGTCAAGTATTTGCATGAAATCAGCGGCAGTATGATTCGTACAAAATCGTACAAGATAGTGTCGTACTATTTTTCATATGATCTGAGTCGCAATCGTATTTTTTAAGTCATTTTTTGCTTTTGCGCGATTTATACTTGAAATGTTAGAAAAAGCTCAGTTTCGAATTCAAATGACTTGTTTAGAGGATCAATTTTTTTGATTACCGAAAAGGCAAGGGGCGCTGTTTTGTAATATAATTGTGCAATAAAGTTATTTTTTTTTTCGGGAAGGAGTGGGGGCGCAAAAATGAATTTTCGCCTAATATTATAATTTTGCTCGCGCCGGTATGCCACTGACAAGAACGATGAATATGCTTACAATGATTTTATGTTTTCCCTTTGTAGAATTTGTCATAATCTGAAATTCGGTTAATGGTCAAAATGCTGATTGACTTTTTAACTGAACTGATAAAATTTCTTCGTAAATTATTCGAATGTGAGATATGAACGAGAAAGACAACCCTGGAGAACATACTTGACTACTTAGTTTAGTTTACACTTTATTTATCACTTCGAAAGAAAAAGAACAGAGAGAAAATAGAATAAAACTAAAAAAGTAGAAACGAATATTAGGCAGTTTTGCTTCAGATTCACACAACATCGGCGAACCATATATTGCTATGCATAAGAAAAGCGCTTATTAAACAGATAGTACCATGTGTAGAGAGAAGACGAAAAACAGGAAAAATAAACAACAAAAGAAGAGGAGAGAGAAAGGAGAAGACAGAGGAAAAGTATGTCTCGAAGATGTTTTAGTATGTGCCCTAGTGAAACTTTTTTTCTCAAGCACATGAGCAAGCACATACCTCAAGATTTGTCTCCATGCATATCAATTTCTTACTCATGCAAAACACATGACGTATGTGCTTGACTTTCTTGTCTCATGCGCTTGAGTTGCTTCTAATATGCGCATGAGGGAAGAAATATCTAAAACAATGTGCATACCAAAAGAAAATCAAGCACATGAGACAAGAAAGTCAAGCACATACCTCAAGAAACTCATGTGCATACCTTAACAAAGTCATGCATTATTGATTTTCCGCACTGTAAATAGCTCTGGCTTCGTTTTTTAGACTTGATTACACCATGTTCTACTCGGCGTGAGGGTGAGATTTCCTTTGGATTCAAAAGTGACCTAATAGGCTCAAAAAAGGATGGCGATTATTCTGGCATATTATTTTTGGTGTTTGTGTCACTTTTTTTTCGATGTTAGTGGATGTTAGTAATACCCGGTGTCCAGTGGCTTCAGATAGTCTTGAGATTGAATGGAACATACGTAACCGACCACACTGGATCTGATGGCAATGTTTATCTTGC